GAAAGTCTCTGAAATATGTGAACACAATATAAATACAAATGCACAATGGTGTTATCATGGACCAGATATGTGACCGTAATGGTCGCTACCCCCAGAAAAGCACTACGCCCTCTGTTGTAACACTCCCCAGACAAAAGAGAAATCTGACAGGAAAACCTTTCTGCCAATGCATGCATGTAAGTCTGAACCTGAGCTGATGGAGTAGTATAAATCAGACTAAATTCTCATTTTCTTGGATAACAGCTTGTGTTTCGAGTACTCTGATGTGTGTGTGGCAGAATGCGAACAAACAACCCTGACTTTGTTTAACACGCAGGTGTCATTGGGACATTTTTGTCCATTTGGGAAGTTTTTTGCTTTTCTTTTGGACACCATTTCAACATTGTTTGTCCATATGGTACAAAATTTTGTCACAAAACCTCACTCTGGAAAATTTTTGAATTTCAATTTGGAATTTTGAAAATAGACCCAGGGAACACCAAGAAAAAAACACTATACCTCTGAGTCTTTAGAGGACAAAAACGTCCGCTCGTAAAAGGGGCTATAAAGAAATTAACACTTCTTTTTTTTTTGTGCTTTTTTTTTCATATACAACAACTTCAGTCCTGCTCAAACATATAAAACATATTAAAACATCCAGTATTTTGAAGATGTGCATTAATGTATGCATTTTTTATAGCCATTTTTACCAGCGGACATTTTTGTCCTCTAAAGACTCAAGTGTGTAGTCAATTAAAGTGAAGCCTGAGGGTTAAAAAGATGGACAGATCGTCATCATGGTATGATTAAAGCTGGGGGCCAAGTGAATGTGGCACAAGTCAGCATTCTGAAATGTGATTAATTGTTCTAGATGAACTCATTTCACACCCAAGCAAAGTTTTTGTCAAACAATCTAAAATTGTCCGATACTTTGGTCTTGGGTCATTTTGTTGATTGTTACATGCTAATTGTTAGAAATAAACAAAATCAATAGATGCAAACACGGCCTTAATTGTTTTAGGATAATAAAGTTTTCTTATAAAATGGCTTTTGTAGTAGTGTATGTAGTGTAGTGTAGTGAAGGCCTGAACAAGGAATAAATGTGACTGACGAATGCTGAAACAGGGCTGCATGATGATAATAATGCATTGAACTTATATAGCGCTTTTCAAGACCCCCAAAGACGCTTTCACACACTCTCACATTCACACACTGCTAGTGATGGTAAGCTACTTGTAGCCACAGCCGCCCTGGGGAGGTCTGACAGAGGCGAGGCTGCCATTTGGCGCCGTCGGCCCCTCTGACCACCACTAACACAGGCATGTTGGGTGAAGTGTCTTGCCCAAGGACACAACAGCAGGATACCCCTGGCGGGAGCTTGAATCGATCCCATGACCCTCCGATCATGAGGCAACCCGCTCTACCACCTGAGCTACTGCTGCCCCAAAGAAGAGTTGGTAGTGCCTCTGCCTTGCAGAAAAAAGGCTGCAGGTTCAAATCCCAGCTGTGGCCTTTCTGCATTCCCCTGAACGCATAGGTTGGCTCCAGGTACAATGACATCCTCCCAAAGAGACGCATGTGAGGAACAAATTATTCTAATATCTATTAGCAAATTAGGGGGAAAAAACAAGAACAAAAAGGTTGGGACAACTAAGTTGAAGCTTTTACATTTTCAGTGAACTAATGTTCCTGCATAAAAACTTTTGGTTTTAATCAGCTAATTGTTTTTCACTGTTCTCTGGGTTCTAGATAAACAGCTTATCTTTATTTATGGGACATAACAAGAAAGTGCACCTCTGAGCTCGTCTAAGTAACTTTAGTAGTTCTCTTCAGTAACTTTTAACCCTCCTACTGTCTTTATGGGTAACTCTGCGAGGAAAGTTGACCATTGAGCAGGATTGATGGTTTATCCCTTGAGGTCCATGTGGCAGATGTGAGGAGTGAGCACTACCTCACCCCTGCCACGTGGACCTCAAGGGATAAACCATCAACCCTGCTCAATGGTCAACTTTCCTCGCAGAGTTACCCATAAAGACAGTGGGAGGGTTCAAAGAAATTCAGTAATATAAAAATTTTCTGACTGACAGGACTGGGGCTTTATCAACTATTCATACAGGCGAGGCTGTAATAAAATCCTTTGCGTATTTGGTTTTGATTTGTATCTTTTGTATTCAGTGGAGATAAAATGATTTAATGGATGAAGACAACATGTCCCACTGGCTTTCAGTCACCGTAGATGAAGACTGGAGCAGGCAGCTTGCTAATTTCTTTTATCCTGAGATCAAAAACACTTGAGATGGACTCGTGTTTCACTGACGTCCTGCAGGAGTCACATGTATCCTAATCTGTCATGGTTTACTAAAAGTGGCACTGGAACCTTATCCTGCTGCCCAGGGAAGAACTGGAGAAAAGGGTGGTATGAATTTTATCAAAATAAATCCACAGTTGATTTTCAGGCCAATGTGTTTGTGCAGCCCTCCTGTCTTTGCTTGTTCTCATGTAGACACGCACACCTACAACTACGGGTCAGTGAATGTGAATAAATGCATGCACACATTAGCTGGTAGAGCTCACAAATCAAGGCTGCTGGTGATGACAGTAGCTGATTGCTCTGGTGTTCTGGGAATGAGGATGAAAACAAAAACATGAATGCATGCAGACTGAAAATATATATACACACTCATACAAATCCCTGATGATGTAGAGTTTTGATGAATACAGTTTAATCCTGTGATTAGCAGATCCCAGGTGGGAGGGCCAGACGTCCTTCTCAGGGCTATCTTTTACACACCAAAATGTGGCAGCACCAAACACAATGATTGCATTTATTTCCACATAGATGGCAGGAAGGAGCTTAAAATGCAGGCAGGGATGTATTTTTTATGTTTTTGAAAGTCCTGTATTTTCCTTCTACACACAATCAAGGACTCCTTTTGGAACAAACAACTGATTACAGCTAAAGGCATTTCTTTAAAAACAAATATTTAACCATGCAACACTAAGGCTATGAAATGAACAGGGGTGGTTAACACTGGAGGATAGCCATTTGGGTCCAGCTGCTCTGTCAGAGAGGCGCATTTAAACATTAGGCATGTTTCCACTGTGGGAACTTCAGGGTAATTTCTGGGAAGTGAAACTCACTGAGAGATAAAAAGGCCCAGTCCTCTCAGCTGTTGAGTCTCTAGAAATTCAGCTCTTTCAGGACTTTGCACAGACCTCAGCATATGGCCACTGCTTCAGCAGGGAGTGATGTCACTGATCAGTGCCAAAGAAGCTCTACATTAACATTAAATGTTTTTATTCTGTTGAAGTAAAGCAATTTAATCCATTCTGAGGACCAAGAGCTGCTGTGTGATGCGTTTTTGTTGTTTAAGTTCAGTTTTTTGGAGTGCTCTGTGGGACAACAAAGCCCCATGAATTACGTCGTTTTGGGGTAATTCTGCTGCGTTTTTCTGTGTCGGGAGTTTAGCAACGGCGATTTTAAAGCAACGCGATTGGTGCTTATTTGCTTGTGCTTTCATTTTGCTTTGCAGAATGCCGAGTTTTTTGGACGATGTCAGCTGATGTCATTTCCTACTGAGTTACAACCAATAAGTGTGAGTTAACCAAAACTTCAGCTCAGCCACTCTGCTTTGCAAGTAACTAACCAGGTACTAAAAAAGTTCCTGAAAATGACCCATTCAACCGGCCTGATGAAGTGGAGACACATGCACATGAAGCATTTGCTTCATTTTGTCCCGCCCCTCCCCATTGAGGAAGTTCCTGACCTGCACGCTCCTCCCTCAGACTGTAAGCACTAACATCCACTCTTTCTCATTTGTAAGCAGCAATTGGGTGATTTCATCTCTGCAGTTGCGAAGAAGTGATTTATTTCATATCTAGTCGGTACTTTGATAATGCCTAGAATGTGAAAATCCATGTTGCTAGATCTGCTTTCTTCTTTGTCTTCTTCATCGTGGCCCATGATGCTTTTCTGGGAATCTAGCCTTATATTCTGAAATAGGTGAGATTCACACGGGTGAAGGTGGGATTTTCTGGTTGAAAAAAAATCTCAAAAGAAAATTATATTTATTATTATATTATTATTATTATTATATTATTTGAGAACAAATGACACCCCCATAGTGCCAACGATGACTTTTATCTTATATGGGCCTATCCTCGCTCTGAAAGGTGAAAAATAGCATGACATGCAACCTTTAAAGTGACAATTTTCCTTGGCGATTGGAGGTAGTACATACAGGGGTGAACTGGCCTATCTGGCATTCTGGCACTGTCCCGGTGGGCCGCTTGCCCAGCTTGGGCTGACACAAGCACCCCCAACCCCACATTCTCACATTTGGTGAGACAGGCGAGTTGAGCAGCAACTCCTTCCTGGAAAAAAAATCCCTGGGAGCGCTATTTTCAAACAAGTACTTTGTCAGATCGTTCAACCTCCAGCAAGATGACAAGCACATCAGACTCCCTTTTAAAACTGGCAACAAGTGAAGAGGTAAATATGTACATCAACAACATTTCTGAATGGAGAACGTTTGTAGCTGTTTTTGAACCTAAAACTATCTGATAATCATTAATCAGATGTATTTTTCTATTTATTTTAATCAGTACAATTCCTTATTCGTTTACATGGATGGGGCTGTGAGTAGAGTTTGTACTGCAGCCAACCACTAGGAGGCGTTTTGGTGTCCTTTGCCTTCAGCTTCTTGTATATCTAACTTTTATTTTCAAATGTGTTGTACAGGGGGGAACGTTTTTGCTTTGTTGTGACATAAAATGTAAGATAGACATACAGTGTGGTGTTTTTCTTCTTTATTTTTGTGTATAGTGTGAAGCTTTGTTGTACGTGATTAATCAGCACAGGAGAGAAACATTTAACTTGTTTTTAGTGTATTTCTCCATTTCTCCCTCCCTCTGTGTGTATTCTCCCTCGCAGGCTACAAGTGTTTGTTTGATTCGCTGCCTTCCCTGCATATTAATGAGCAGGAGCTGAGGGCAGCCTTTAAAGACTGGCTCTCCCTCTCCAACAGATCTGAACGCTCTGAGTGGAGACGCGTTCAGGACGCACGGAGTTCCGCGCTCGGTACAGACTCCAAGAAGTGGAAAGATCTCCTTCTGCACTCTCCAAGTCTTCGGACCTGAAGTGGATCTTATCTTTATCCCATAAATCTTTTTGTATCGAGGAATCAGATTTTAAATAACTTTTTTAAAAGTTAAAACATGCATCGGTGCGCCGTGGTGCTACTTCTGTTGGTGGTGTCCTTATATTTAATGAACACAGAAGGTAATTTGTTTTCTTTTACTCGTTTAGAATCGAAATGTCCGTGTTTGCATTTAATACGGTAATCGAGGTGGGGGGTTTTGTTATATATTTTTTCTATTTTAAAGGGAATAATGAAATGATTAAGACCCACAATCTTTTTTCTAAAGTTTTTTTTTTAAACATAGGACAAGAAACAAGTAAACACCAACAATTGAATGATTGATGCACTCTTTTTAACACATACAACTTCATGGTTTTGTTTACAAGCTTTTTGTGACAATAAAAACAAATGTTGACTCAGATGTTTAGTTCTTCCATTCATGATAATACATTTTTATTTGTTGTTAAATATAAATTAGGGGTAAAAGTGATTCCAAGTTTCTCAAGTTTGCATAAACAAAACTGAAAATTAAAGGCAATTTGTTCAGGTTTGTTATTTAATTGCTCACAGGAACATTTTTTTCCTTTTCTAATCCTGATTCAATAATGTTTAACATGGTTGAGGTTTAAATATGTTTATACAGCATAATTTTTGTTGGTGCAGGAAAAAGATATTTGCAGTTTTTGCATCCAGCAAGCTCTTATGGTTGCTTGGAAACTTTGTTGTTGTTGCTTCACTGAGATAGTCCATCACCGTTTTGTAGTGCAAATGCAAACATTTATTCTTACTTGTCTGGAAAGTGTCTGAACTGCTTCTTTCCTCCCTTTGTTGATCTGTATGATTCCTGTTTTATTTGCTATTTGTTGTCCCGTGTGTTTGTGCTCGGTGTTGGTTCCACTGAGGGGCTTTTGGTGACAGATTTAGTGTTTGGGGATCAGCACAGATAGCAGGTGATGGATTGAGGAAGCCTTGGACTATCTGGGTCATCACAAATCTACAGCCCAGGAAAACCAATTTCCTCTGCTTCTTTATGCGGCAACATGGAGTTGTGATCACTCAACAGCCTGAGCTGGGAATGATGATAAATGTTTGGTTACTTTAGAAGTGCGATGAACAACTTTTTGAATAAAATTGTCATCTTAAAGTATGGATGAAAAGTGACTGATTCATGTTTAGGAGAGTTAAGAAAATTGATTTAATTAATAAAAGGTAAAGTGTTAAATGACTTCTGTTACCTTGAGAAATGTGAAATGTTAGTATATAAATAAATGTATAATTCAATCATAAACTTTTACTCATGTCCCTCTATAATCAGATCCCAATCCTTCCCTGTGCGTATCGAGTGTGAGTAATTGTGAGAAAGCTTATTTATTCTCGCTTTCAGTCTCTTAAAGCCTTCAGGGGAAATGTAAAGTCTTGACAGGAACAAAACTTAGACTGACGTGTTTTGCATCTTTTCGACAGCGTACAAGTGCAGGTGCACCAGAAAAGGACCAAAGATCAGATACAAGGATGTGCAGAAGCTGGAGATCAAACCCAAACACCCCTACTGCCAGGAGAAGATGATTTTGTGAGTGATAGGATTCGATTTCCTTCTGTCACTCTGACTTCGCTGCTTTCTTTCTTTTGTTCTCTGTGACAGCTGTTCTTTTTACATAGATTTGGTTGTTCCTGTTTTGTTTCCTATTTTTTCATCTTCCTTCCTTATTCCTTTTCTTCCTACCCAACAAATCACAGAATCTGACCAAAATTAAACCTGTTGCTATCACACATTTTTCAGATTACGTATATGAAGACACACACACACACACACACACACACACGCACACACACATCTGTTCTAAACCCCTTAGAGCAGTTTTTACTAGGAAGAGGATTTGGATCGTGCTCCACCTCCAGGAGGTTGGAATGTCTCGTTTGGAAAGGACGGGAAAGATGGAGAACTTTCTAGAACCTTTTGCTACATTCACGCGCTCTCCGTATTAGGCTGCATTTATTTCAGAGCTAAAACAAAGCTGTGGAGTTTTACTACCATATGCATCTCTAACAATGTGTTTTTACATGTTAAAGGACGATTGTTACTTTCTAGTCAGGTTACTGCATCCTGACCTCTGACCTCCCTCAAAGCTCTTCCTTTGATCTCTAATGTCAGTATGATCCATCCGCACCACCCCTCTGCCGTCTGACCTTTAACCCATGAAATCACAGCTCAGGCACACAGACTGCTATTATGTTCAATTTGAGCCGTCATGGAATGCAGCCCGAACCTCCCTGTTGATAACAGTCTCTCCTGTTCTGCACACTTACACACAGAGTGGAGAAAAAACAGGCCAGCAGCATGTCAAACTAAGGTAAATACGCTAAATGAATAGTCAGGAATGAGAGTTTTGATCATAATTTAGTGCAATGTATTTGAAGTTTGTAGTCAAATCTCCAAGGGAGGGCCCAGCAGATGGGAATGCTGTCAGCTTCCAGGGAGACTGTTTTGTTTTCAAGTCACAAGCTCTGCTGCCACCTGCTGCCAAATTACAACCACACACAGAACATTAGCTGGGCAACAGCATGGAACAGTTTGTGTCCAAGTCTGTGTAGTCAGCGGGGGTGAAGTCTCCACTCTAATATTTAAATTTATTTCAAATATCTTGTTCAAGTATTTAAAATATTAAAGGAATGCTTTGCACCTTTTTTATACTTTTAAATCATTTTTTGAACCAGTATGTGCTAAAACAACCCTTTGCAGGGTTAATTAAAGGCCACCCAGCCCCTATCGCCCTCTGTGGCCAGAATATTCTACTTCCAACTTCAGACTGGTGTCCGATCTGTTGGGAGTCAGAGAAAACTGAGCTGACAGTCTGCAGTCTGTACGTTTCCTGCATGTTTTAGAACATGAACACAGTGGATTTGTTTAATTTAGTGATGAACCACTCTTGTGAACACTAAAGAAGGCTGGAGAGGCATTTCAGCTGTTAGATTAAGGAGTTAAAAGCAGAAACAGCCTATTTCCCTTTGAGGTTGTGTTTGGTCCGTTTCCAGGGAAACAGCTGAAACTCATTTAAAACATTTTTTCTTCACAAATATATGTAATTTGTTTCTGATATTTTATCCAAATATATGAAATTGCCCACCTAAATAAAGACTGCATTGGAAAAAAAACTATTAAATAGGTACTGCGTAAAGTGGCCATATTTCAATACCACACCCTATAATATAAAATTTTCAATTCAAGTCAGTTTATTTTTACAGCACCAACTCACAACAAGTGTCATCTGAAGGCATTTTACAAAATAAACATTCCAATTGAGCCTACTTATCAGTGCATTGCATTCAGTTCATTATGCCAATTAGTTTAAAAAAATTCTTCTATGTAAGAAAACCCAACTGATTGCATGAAGTCACTGACTTGTGTCAGAAACTTTACAACATTCCCCATACTAAGCAAGCATGTAGCAAAAGTGGAGAGGAAAACGCACCTAGAGCCCTTTTTTAGAAGAAACACCATGCCGGCAAACCGGCGTAATATTACCACAACTGTGTGTTATAAACGTGTCATGCCGGCATGGCGTTGCACAAATTTTGTGGCATTTGTTCCGCCTCGTTGTTAGTAATATTGAAGTGTCTGTCCTATAAACGGTGATTGCGCCTTGGCGCAACAGAGAGAGGTGTCGTGATCACGTGGGGAGTTACTGCCGAGCTCTAGCCAGCAACTATATTGAAAATGAAAGTAAAAATGGGCCGTAAGTTTTGCTTTTGTAAACAGAACCAACTGAGATGGCAAACTGGAGAGCTGCAGTGCTCCTGGAGACTCTCTCCGTTAGAGCTGGTGGTCAGATCGCCAGAGACTGCTCAGGCAATGTGGGGGACAGACAGCCATAGAGCTCCGGGAGTTGACGTCACTTCTCCCGGCATGCAACAGTTCAAATCGAAACTGCGCCATATTGGCAGGCAGAAGCCCGCAGCTGGACTATTTGTTATTGTCAGAAAACTCAAACAAACGGGAAATATGGTAGATTCCTGTTGTGCCCCAGGATGCAGAACAGACGCGGACGACATAAGGAATGAGACATCTACAGGATTCCTTAAGATCCGGAGCGCCGCAAACGTTGGATCATTGTAATAAAACGCGTTAGTGACCGGGCTAAAATGAAGCTGTGGGACCCCGAGAGTAAAGGTTTTCACTTATGCAGCGACCACTTCATATCAGGTACTTAAACCCTCAACTGTGTATGGTATTTATTTTAAATGCTTTTATTACGATTCTTAGTGGGCTTCCTAAACTTATTTTGGCGTGGCTTTTTCTGTCTTATTACTCACAGCAACAAGTAAACATCACGTAAAACGTTGCCTCGTGAGTTCTGCGTGCTGCCGTTTACGTGTTTTATGATCACAGCAATAAACCGGCTAAGCTGTATTTAATTTTTAAGCAATGGTTGATCAATTGTCAGATCACACATGAAAAGCACTTTGGATTGCTATTATCTGTCTCACCGAGACAGATCTCAGACAGATCCTGAGACTCTCCTGCCTGACATATTTATTTTATTCACGGAAAAAAATCAGACTAGTGATTTCTCTTTGCATTCAGTTTCAAACAGCACAGCACTCTATTGAAACTACTTACATGTAAATCTATGTTATTTGTCCATCCATCCATTTTCATCCGCTTATCCGGAGTCGGGTTACGGGGGCAGTAGCATCGAGAGGCCCAGACTTCCCTCTCCCCAGCCACTTGGGCCAGCTCCTCCGGGGAAATCCCAAGGCGTTCCCCGGCCAGGTCCGGTAAGAAGTCCGCTCCGACATCTTCTGGCGTTTTTAAAAAGTATCCCAGGGGCACGGTAAGGGTCGGAGATGTTTAGGCTAATTAATTTCTGACTATATAAAACGATTTTTTCGGTTTTAAAGTGTGAAGTAAACTCCGGCAAAGTAAAATCCAAGCCGATCCCGTTCATTTTGTTTACATTTGTTGCCTGCCAACGTGGCGTCTACTCTCTGAGAGTCACGTGACGTCCGGAGCTCTATAGGAGCTGCTTGTTTAAAAAGCCAATCGCTGCTTTCATCACAAAAAAAAAAATCCAGTTATGTCCAAGATACACAGAAGTCCGCGGCAGTGCAGAAACCGCCCCCATACCCTCTTGATACTGCCATTGCCTAATATTTTATAAAAGGACATGATTGTGCCACATTACCGCCACGATCTGACCAGGTATAAATGACCTAGGGCTCCCTTATGCCGCCACAGCTTTGTGGCAAAGTGACGGCATTGTTTTTTTAAACGGCCTTTACAGGAGGAACCTGTTTAAGGGGAATTACAGTATATATATATATATACATATATATATATATATATATATATATATATATATATGTGTGTGTGTGTATATGTATATATATATATAGTATGTATGTACATATTTATATATATATATATATACATATATATACATATACATATATATACATATACATATATGTATATATACATATATATGTATATGTATATATATGTATATATGTATATGTATATATATGTATATATATATATATATATATATATATATGTATATATATGTATATATATATATATATACATAAACATATATATATATATATATATGTATGTATATATATGTATGTATATATAGACAGGTTGTATTTATTCAGACCAAAACAAACAAAACAACAGAAGCATTCCTAACCCTAACCACAGCTCACAGCCTTATTTGTGAGTGTGTTACCTGCCACCCAGTCATCATTCAAGGCTGCTCTATTAGCATGATATGGGGGCCACCAGCCATGAGAGCCGGGTGAAAAATGAGCCTCAGCGGGCTCCGGAAAGCCACAGAGAGAATGAAAGCAGGAGAGAAATGAGCATGAGAGTCCCCTCTCTTCGTGTTTGGCTCACGGATTTCAGTTTGGCATTCTGAACGGCAGCTCCAAAGCACACACTTGCACACGTACGCGTACACACACACACACACCAAATAACCCTGTTTTGTCTCCTTGTTTTCCTAATTCATTTTTGTTGTTTCAAAATTCCTAAACTGAGTCTTTTATCAGTCATCTTCTCCTTTCTCTTTTATTTAATTCTCAGTCTCTGTTCTTATCATTCAAGGGTGTTTAAAGCCGCAGCGTCCAGCTGCCCAGGTGAATGTTAATGAGCAGTAACTAAAAGCTCAAATTAACACAGTAATGAGGTTAAACTTTCCTCCTGTTGAGCTGCTTAGCAGATATGAGTCCACTCGCATGCCTGCATACACAAGCAGTTTGATGCTCCTCCTCACATTTTAAAGAGTCTGGTACTCCATCAGTGAAGCACACACAGCAATCTAATAGCAAGACGACTTGACAACTGAATGGGCAGGATAGAATATCCAGAACACTAATCAAATTCTTATTGCGGCTGACTTTACGAGTCAAGTCTTTTTTCCTTCAGTCTTTTAGCATTCATGATCTGCTGATTGTGTTGGTGGATGGGGGGCCTACCCTTTTTCCCAGCACATTCAGTTGGGTTGAATAAGCCACATGCAGGCAGGCTGTCTCTGTTATTACCTCAAATAGAGGGCTGAAGACAGACCTTTTCTTTCAGGCGGCGTAGATGTTACATTTTTAAGTGGCAGAAGCATAGTATTGCTGTTTTCCAAGAAGTTCACTAAGTTGTGCAAGCTGATCCTTTCAGTTGTGGGAAGAATTCAACTACAACTAGTGCATTCAGAAGACTTTAAATGGTATTCAGGTGGTTTGAAATGCTGCTAAAGGTGATTTAGTTATTCTAATGATCAAACTGACACAACGATTTCAAATTTGCACTGTTGTTTGAATGCATAAACTGAGAACAGTTTGGGAGTTTTGAGGATGGATCTGGCAGACTTTAAACCTTCATTTAAACAAATAGAAATGTAGACTCATTCAGCTTTAAGTTTTGATTCATATGTTTTAGTTATTATCTAGAAATAGCACACAGATTGGTGCTCTGGCTAGACAAAGCTCCAGCAACTCCTGGCCACTGAACATTATCATGCCACCATTGCATACGTTTGCAGCTGTTGTGTTTTTCCAAACTCTTAAAGTCAACTTTTTTTTTTTGTTCCTCGCCTCAGTGTGACGATGGAGAATGTGTCTCGATTCAAAGGTCAGGAGTACTGTCTTCATCCCAAACTTCAGAGCACAAAGAATCTGGTGAAATGGTTCCGCATCTGGAAGGACAAGCACAGGTACCCTCCTAAGCATTACGAGTATTAATTGCTACAGCAGTAAACAGGTTATACTACAGGTGTGTGTTGCAAATGATCACGTGGGTCTGCCATGATAGACATCAACAGTGAATTACGGGAGAAATGAACAGAGGGGAAAAGAGGCGACTGAGGTTGTTTTTTTTTTTTTTTTTGCCAGTTTAACCTGGTTTTCATTAGTTCAAGCCAGTTCACTTGTGGGAAGATTTAGCACACCTGGGTGGGACTCATCAAGAGCGGTAGATAAGTCAAGTGTTAGCTAGCTTACGCTCTACCTGCAGCTGTTAAATGATGTAAACAAGTTGCTGACTTTGCCATCATGGTGAAGGGGCGGTCCCATAAACAGTGTGATGTCACATGCAAAAGCTCAATCGGCTAGAAACCAGCAATATGATATTTATCAGTGGAGATGATACAATGAATTGCGATACTAAACGCCAGATGGTATTTGCAGTTTTTAAGACAGAATTTAATTGGAAAACTCAAGCCAGATGCTTTGAAAATGCATTCAGTGTTGTCGCAAGTTGTACCACCTTCATTCTGTCAGAATGCAGAATTTGAATTGCATTATCAATTAAAATGAATCAACACAGTTCTTTTAAATATTGACTCAATACCATCACATGAAATATTGCAATATTTCAGTGTATCGATATTTCCTGACATCTCCAGGTAATTAAGTATTGTTTCAGTGAAATAGTATTTTATCCATAATTGGATAAGTTAACTGCTTTATAAGTTGAGATGAAAACTCCAGGTTATGTTTGTTAATGAGAACATGTAAAGTAAAGGTTGAAAAAAGAGCCCCAAACATATTTATTTATAATGCAGTTTAACTTATAACAGGTTTTTATTTTTTTGAAGATTTAGGAAAACTGAAGAGGATGAAACTCTCCTACTGCTTGCAACGGATTCTTTTAGCTTATAGGAGAAATACAAATCCAATGCAAATTGATTTTGTCCAAAGTATTAGCATAAAATATGCAACAGAAAATCATATCCATGATCCAAGTGTTGACCTAATTCTGGATCTCTAATAATATTGCAAGATATTGTATGATTGGCAGAACATGTTGTGAATGACTCTTCACTACACACATAAAATCATTTTATCTCAGTATGTGTAAAATTTTAAAGTGTTTTGTGTTTGCTAGGCTCACCCAGCTGTGGTAGCCAACTTGAACTAGGATCACTTATAAAGTTTGTCCTGAAATATTTTCTCAGTGTTTCGTAAGTAAGTAAAAATTGTTTACCTAGGACCTTTCACAGTTAGATTCATCACAAGCACTGTACGACGTAATTAAATAAAAATCTGTTCAAATTTACCCAAGTGGTTAATGAGATATTTTAATTTCCTTGTCATTAGTGCCCACATTTTGCCATTTAGCAGACTCAAACTAGCACAAAAATAAAACACAAAGAGGATCAATACAAACAAAAACAGAGAAGACATCAACCAGTATAGCTGTTTAACCCTCCCACTATCCTAATGGGTGTGACCCCACAAGGAAAGTTGACCATTGAGCAGGGTTGATGGTTTATCCCTTGGGTCCATGTGGCAGGGGTGTGGAGTGAGCACCACCTCACCCCTGCCACATGGACCGCAAGGCATAAACCATCAACACTGCTCAATGGTCAACTTTCCTTGCGGGGTCACACCCATTACGATAGTGGGAGGGTTAAACTAGCGTATGTTAGCATTCATCCTTGTTTTAGCCATTTTTCATCAGAGAATCAAGATTGTTAGTTAAAACACACGTTGTGTTCTATCATCAGCTGTAAAACTGCAATAAAAGACCATTTGGCTGAGATGTAAACCTAAAACGGGCTAACTTTATGGTTGCATTTGCACCTTGACCTCTTAACACACATGCACAAACAACCATTTGCATCAACTTTTGTTGTGTGACTTTAAATCATCGTGACTTATTATTAATATTTGAAAATGCAAAAGATTAAACAAATTTTGCTTAATCCTACAGGGTGTACGAGGCCTAAAGCACTGGCTTGACCAAACACGTGGATCAAACATGACGTCAGCGGGACTGTCTCGTGAAGTACACGATCTGATCTACAGTGATGCGGTTCTTCTTCAGATACCCTTAAAACACACAATGAGTTATTTCTATTTTGTATATAATATGATGGGCATCAGTTTAGTTACATCACTCACATGTCCAGTTTTTACAGTAACCGGCTGTTTGTCAGAAGAGGAGGACACATCACCATCTGTAATCAAACAGCTGTAGGTTGGTTCAGGTGATGCTTTAAAGGAACATTTCCTTTGCTTTACCTCTTCTGGTTCCACAAAATAGAAACTGTGTGTGAAATTATGGTGAGACAAACAAATACTCATTGGAAAAATACAGAACTGTGGATTCAGAATACTTGTTTATTTCTTCACTGTCAGTTTTTTGGGAGGCTGTTGCAACAACGTCATTAAGAGTCTTTTTGTAGTTGTAGAAGAGAGTGTGAGATGCAGACGCTGCTGTTAACACACTTTAGAGAAGACTCCCCAATGCATGTGTGTATGTGTGTGCACGTGTGTGCATATGTGTATGTGTGTGTGTGTGTGTGTGTGTGTGTGTGTGTGTGTGTGTGTGTGTGTGTGTGTTTCCACCAACTTCTTTGTTTCTCTCATTCAATCTGCGGGGTGTAGATTCAATAGATAACAGATAATTACTACATTTGTGCCATGGCTACATAGAACACCATATGTTTGTGATATTAAATATATTAAGGAAGCATTACTTCATAATATAAACTTTTCTTAGTTTATTTTTTAATGCATCTCTTGAAATAAATGTGTAATAAAGCAATATTTCATACAAACTCTACTATTTGGACAAAGTGACATTTATAAGCATTCTCTAAGAATAAAGCTTGTAGTTATTCAATTCATCAAACACACATTACGTTTATATTATTCAACTTTTAACCGGATTATAGTACTTTTTTTATTTATATATGTAGACATTTAAAACAAACAATATTTTTAAAGGATCTGAAGGATAGTTTCATTTAGTATTATTCCTACTTAGATGTTCAGTTCATGGAGACAATTTTCTGAGACAGGTCGAAACAAAAGTACCTGGCTGAATGCTAACAAGAACATGACAGCCATGGAATAAAAAGTCCCCGTGTTTATGAAAATAAACAAAAAGGCAGCACAACATTGTTGCTCTTGTTAGGTTTTTGGACAACAGTGGAGATCAGCAACACAAAGAAAACAGCCATATAAGATTTTAACAAACTTTTGACTCTTCTTTGTTTTATTTGTGGACAATAGAACAATTTGGAAGAAATTATAATTATTTTTAAGTTTTCAGAAAAAATATAAAGTGGATTGTTGTTTGTAAAAAAAATAAACTTTTTTTAACATAAAAATGAGATAATTGAGGGGGAAAATGTTCAGCATGCTGAATAAGTTGACTTACATTAAGATATGTGGTATGTTATTCATCCTTTCATTTTCTAATAACCGTCATTTGTGTGATTATTGTCACCTGTCATCATAACAACTGTTGGGTGTTTTGTTGCCAGTGAAAACAATTCACTCATGTACCTGCTCATATACACAAACTTCTCATTTTATTGAAGAATGTGCATTATTCTTGTATTTTATATTAAAATAAATATTGAGAAACGTTTTTCAAATAGACTGACTGATATGTTGGTATGTATATTAGTTCAGCAAAATGTTGTGCACAGCTAGATGAGTGTAACTCTATAAAATGAAATAAAATGTTCATAGAGACGTCTGTTTGCATGGTCAGATGGTCAGAGGTCTTTGGTATAATCAATCGCCATGTTTGAAGAGAAGAAGAAGGTTAAGTTGCATCCCAAGAGTATCACACACCCACTGTAAAGCATGGGGGTGGAAACATGCTTTGGGACTTATTTTCTGCAAAGGGAACAGGGCGACTGAAGGAGAGGATAGAAAAAGCCATGTATCATCAGGTTTCCATCAGTGAGAGCAATGAAGATGAAACAGAGCTGGATCTTCCAGCATGACAATGATCCCAAACACACCACCAACACAAGACTGGCTGCGTGAAAAGTATTTCAAGGTTCTGAAGTGGCCTAGCCAATATCCAGAAATTGTTCTCCATTACAGATCTCATCTTTTTTTTTACAGTGCAATTAATTGGATTATATTTATTAATAGCAAAAGAGAAAACATAGAAATCATAAATGCTGAGATCTCCTGCATGAAGAACAGTGTTGTCAGCAGGCTTCTATCTCACTTCAGGGTTCATTTCAAGATCCTGGTTCTGGTCTATAGGGCCTTACATGGACAAGCACCATCTTACATTGGTGATCTTCTTAGTCCCTACACCCCCAGCAGGTCCCTGAGGTCCAGTGATCAAAGCCTACTGGTTGTGCAGCACCAGGCTAAAGACCAAAGGTGACAGATCATTTGCTGCTGTGGCCCCCAGACTCTGGACCTCTCTCCCCCTGAGCCTGAGATCAGTGGACTCAGTGGTCTCCTTTAAAAAGCAGCTGAAGACTCACTTGTCAAAAGTGGCTTTTGTATGACCTTCTTCACCACTCTCTCTTTATTCTGCTCTCCCCACCTATTCCACCTTCCTCACTGATTTCCCTCTTTCCTATTCGCTCGCTCTCTTAACATTTTTTAATCACAATTGTCTATTTCTTGCTCATTTTAAATGCTTTGAATCATTTTCTAAATTCTTTTTGATATCTTTACATTTTTTGTTTTTGTGGAGCGCCTCGTGATTTTTATCTTGAGAGGCGCTCAGATATTTTCTTCTTCTTCTTCTTCTTCTTCTTCATTCTTTTGTTATATAGTTCTCAAGGTAAAGTACATTCACCATTTCTCTTTGGCACATTTCATATGTGGGAGCAATGTCCGTCTTCCATGTCAAAAGAACTCACTTTTTTGCGGCCACAGTTCCAAATAGGATTGCTTTCTTCTGATATGCGTTGAAGTCGAGTAGAGGAGTAGTTGCCCCGAGAACAACAGTTGGGTCAGGTTCACGATTTTTTTGTAGACTGTGGAGAAGCACTGAAAAACATTTTTCCAGAATGTGTATAGTTTACTACATAACCAAAGGGAGTGTGAAAGGTTTGTAGTCTCAGATTTACATCTATTACAAGGCGAAGCATCTGGAAAGAAACTATCAGTAAGGCCAGATAAAAAGGGCTGATTTTCCCAGATAGGAGAGTCTAGCTAAAGCTTTGGAGCCTTAATGTGATGTTTAAATGGCTTCCTGTCAAGGATTTTGATCAATAACCCAGTGCCTGCAACCAGAGAAAAATAAACTAATGACAGACAAGTATCCAGAAAGCAATCAGGAGGCAGAAGCTACAAGGCTACTGCCCCAAGCTCCTGAATTCTCAGTTTATTTATACCATGAGATAAGAAAATGTGTGTGTGTGGGAATGGCTGTGTGAGTGTGAGTGTGGGTGTGTCTGAATAAATGAGCATGTATTTAGGCATAGAGAAATACAAATTACATTCAGGTGATTGAATAAATGATCAAGAAATAATAATAATAATTCCATTACATATTCCCCCCTGTTTATGGGATATATACATAACATGCATGAAATTTTATCCACTTCCATAGCTTGTCACCATTTTCTATGAAAGCTTCATTAATTACGACTTAAGGAATAGGGAAAAGGGTAAAACCAGGAAAGGTGATCATCTTGGTAGTCATAAGGACCAATAGGGTACAGATCAAGCAACTCAAGACAAAAATGATGAGCATCAAAACAAGAAAATTAAGTAAAGTAATAAACACTACGATCAGATATGAAAGGCTCAGAATCAGGGGTGGATTTAGGACTGAAGAAGATCCGGGGCTTAACGCGCACGCACACACACACACACACACGTGACACGCACTAGTCAACATCATATATATTTGTCTTGTACCACATAATGTTTAATCTGAAGCTATTTATTAAGCATGTTCAGGGCAGAGTATTGTTCTGTTAGTGTTTAGTGTGAGATGATAGTAAATATTCCCTTTCTTTCTCCAACAACTTTACCTGATAGTAAGCTAACTTTAGACAAACCAGCAGCACAACAAATATTTTCAAATAAGACTCACAAACCTGAGTCAGCACCAGTATCATCAAAGCTGGGGTTCTGTCGCGGTACTTTTTGTCTAAAAAACGTCCTCATGTCCATCTTCACTCATGCGTTTCAGGCAGAGAGTGTAGAAGAAGCCGGCTGCTGAAGGGCTTCTTCTTCAGTGGTGGAGGCTCAGGCAGGCTGTATACAAACTACTGCTAGCTGCTCCCTCTCTGTTGGACTTTGGTACTGCATGTTACTTCCACTTTTTAGATCTGGGGCTTTTTATAAAACATTCAGGGCTTGAGCCCAAGTAGCCGGGCCTAACGCCGCCCCTGCTCAGAATCAACATGCTGAAGCGAGAACACAGCATGAGGTGCTGCATTCGTTTGTCGTTAAGGATCGTAATCTTAATCCTGATAACTTTGTCCAAAGAATCATTCTATACAAAGTGTAATACAAAAATCAGTCAAATAATAACAAACAAAATAATAAACATGATAAGGCAAACACAACTGACGATAATATCTTACAGCAGTTCACAGGGATAGAGAATGGAATCAGCTAAATCAACACAGTTATAACCTTAAGAAAACCTATTTCATACATATTGAAATGAATTTACTGTGATGCACAATTCTACAATTTATGGCAGTTCCTGTTAGGAGATTGGGAAGGGTTAGCAAAACCATATAATGCACATAAACCATCAGAGTAATTTATGAAAACATCAGGTGAATTTAATTTAAACTTCAAGTTGCAGACGAGTCTTTCTGTGAATGAGGAAAAAATGAACGTGTAATATTAATTTATGCAGCTCTAACTACGGCAGAGCTGAGGGTAACCAGGCGTTCTTCATCAAAAGGACTCGTCCATGGACTGAGTCCTGGTTGGAGAATAGTTTTGAGGGTCAGAGTCTTCTTCCGTTGATCAGGATGGTTTCAGTTCTTACGTAGATGAGTACCTTGGAGTCCAGGTCCGGAGTGCAATAATGGAGTTCGGGATGTGAGCGCACAGTTCAACTTCTCAATAGGAAGACGTCAGGGTCCTTCCATGGCGTTTTGAGGTGGTTGTCCAATTGTCAGGGAGCTGATCTTGTCCCCAAAAAGTCCTTCAGGCCCTTGACCGTGAAACCAGTCTGGAGATTTGGGTGCAGGTGCTTGAAGAAGTTGATCCTTTCCCAGCGTCTCTCCTTCACTGTGTCCTGTTGTAGTTGCGTCCAGGAGGTCGTCAGCCGAGGTGGATGCAGGTCACGTTGGCATGTAGGTGTGTGGTCAGGGAGGAGCCCCAATCCGTCGTTTCAGTTCCAGTTCTAGTACCCCCTTAAATGCTGCTGTCCCAGTCGTTCCATCAGGTGCTGAGAGGCGGTCCAATGCAGGCCATGAACGTGCACCAACATCAGCAATGTGGTGAGCCCAGCAAGCTTGAAGCAGATCTTGTCTTTTTCTTTATCTTTATCTATATTTTCACCGGTGTTGAGACGTGGACCCTAGAGGTAACCCACCCCTTTGCAGTCGGACTTTGTTGCCGCTCCAGTAGCGATTGACGTTGATAAGCTTGTAGTGGGATAGATTAATCCAAAATGGCCTCTCAGCATCTTCACAGCAGTGGGAGTGATGAGGAGTACTTCGAATGGACCTTCTCTGGCTGCCCCAGTTGTCTTGCTTCAGCACCTTCATCAGAACCCAATCTCCTGGTTTCACGACCTGTGATGAAAAAGCACAAGAAAATTCTGGGAGATCACTGTTGATTTTGAATTGTTTTCAGCAAAAATACTTATCATCCAATATT